AACAATCTGGCGCGTGAAGATCATCATTACTGCTTCAAACAATCAAGCACATAAAAAAAAAAAAAAAAAAAAAAAGCAGCACGAATGTAGAAAGTTGGGGTTAGGTTGCAACATCCCTCTGAATTCACAAGAGAGAGCTATAATAGAATTGTTTTTTCATTCAATTAAAATGCCGCAGAAAAAAATGTGTGGACGAGACAAATACAAAGATAAAACAGATTTAGCGTCGCCCCAAAATCAACAGAAGGCAACCCTAGTCATTCTAATTCGCGCGAACGTGTTGAAGCCGCCCCGGTAAAAACAATACCTTGCCAAGCAAAATTCTCACAGAGAAGAAACTCGGTAAATGCACATTTAAGAAAAATAACCAAGGCACGCATACACTCAAAAAATAACCTAAACCAATAAAAAAAAATGCAGCCCTAAAGTAAACTATAGCGGCGCGAAAAAGTGTTGCCAACAGCCGGTTTTGATCGCATCCATTAGGCGCACGACCCGTAGCTGAATCCAGAACTTGCCACAAAAATACCAAAACCAGACGCATACAAAGTCTAAGCTGGAAGCGTGTTGCCCTGGGGGGGGGGGGGGGGGGGGGGGGGGTTGGATTGGGCACGTGACTGCCAGCGTTGCCCCCCTAACACATCGAACGACCACGATCCCATTTCTGTTTATACAAGAAAGCTTAGCACCAAATCATGTTTGTTTTGTATTGTATTGTTGTTGTTTCTTCTCTCAAGCCTGATGATAGCAGTGTATACGTTACTGTCGCAGCACGTAGAAAGGGCAAGATATATTTTCACCTACTCTGAACAGCTCAGTACAGCTGGTGTGAATGATTCAAAAGTACCCAAAAGAAGAAAAAAAAACGGAGGAAAAAAAAAGAACGACATGTTGATACCGATGACAATTTTTTTCTGTTATCGTGTTAGATATAGCTTGCCTGCGGGAGTGACTGAATATTGTTTTCTAAAAAAACCTCACTTTTTACCTATCAGGCATACGAAAATGTTTTTTTATTATTATTTTCACTTAAATATGTTGAAAACATTTAATCGAGGTGTCGAAAAAAAACACTTCTAAAGCACCCTTTTATGTGATGTATCTTTTCTACATTCGTGTTTTATTTCTTCGGCAGTTTATTTTTTTTTTTTTTTTTGGGGGGGGGGGGGAGGGGGGGGGGCCCGGGGGGACGGGGGGGGGAATAGGCATTCAGTGCTGTTTGAAAGCTGACGTACTCATTTCGGAGCCAACTATTCCTTTGGCAAACAAACAAAAAAAAAAATGCGCAACAACCGTCATTACTATCATCATTGTCACTGAAATACAAACGCAACCCCCTCTCACGTATTCGTAATCACGGCCGCATCAAAGCTGAATCCAATCAGAAAATTCACTTGCGCATAAAAGTCAAATTCGATAAAACGATCGATCTCGTGGTTTCTGAAAGACCCGATGCAACGACAATAAAATGCAATACGGCGCAGGGATATGCAATGTAAACCAACAAACATATATTTAAAAAAAAGCCCCACGGGTGATTTATGTTTGGGTTACGATGAAATGAAGAAAAAAAAATACATAGGCTCCCACGCACATTCCCTTTCAAAAGCGCAGCCGTAAGGCTCTCTCCGCACACCTCATTGGACAAGCCGGCTTGAAAGTCAGTTGTGGCCCAGTGTCATTGCTCAATTCAGCCGAACTACCCAGCGGCACAGGGCATTCCCGAAAAATGATAAGCTCAACCCATCCGTAGCTTCCACTTCGGTTCATCTTAAAGACCGACGACCAGTTCGCGCTTTCCACTTTTCCCCCGCTTCCTCCTCCCCCCCCCTTCTCCCCTGTCCACCGTTGCCTCTTTCCTCCTTCCCCATGGTGAGGAGGATCTTCTGCCTTGCAGAATCTCGAGTCTGGTCGTCGGCCTTTAAGCTAAGGGAGAGCAAGAGATGCCTTCTATATTTATTTCACACGTTTCAATCCCGTTTGTCAACGCATCACGATCAATGTTTATCGGACACAGTAACATCACACTGTCACGTGATATCATATGGTGTCACGTAACGCCAGTGTCACGTGACGTCACAGCACCACGTGACACCATGGTGTTGAGTGACGTAACAGTGTGGCGTGACACCAAAATTTTCCCGCCAAATTAAGCTGGGTAATGACTTCGTTCAGTTCGTTAGAAAGCGCTATGCTCTTGTAAACCCCATCGAGTGCTATCTCACCCTCACCGCATTCAACATAACGTCTAAGTCATGCAAAACTTTGCGTCTTCGATCTTTGGTCTCGGGTTTTCGCAACAATCAAAGTTCACCGGTTCGTCCCTGTCGCAGCTCTTATTACGCGAAAGGTGCCCCACGTGTGTTCCCCATAAAAGCAGGACTCCATAGCGTTATCCTCCGTGTAGTGATCCTATTTCTGATACCGGTTGGCGTGTCCTGTAACTCTGGCTTAAGCCCTGGGTCCTTTTTGCAGCGTGTTACGTAACCCGCGAGGCGCACGTTGGCTTCCAGATAAAAGAACGAAACAGAAACAACAAAACGTAAAA